AAAAATGAATATTGTTTGATTTTAAAAACAACGCTGTCTCCTCTATAAATCCGTTACTTATGGCTCTCAGATTTTACGCAACTGGTAATATCCTTATAGCAGTTGGAGATTTTGGAGGCGTACATTTTAGCACAGTTTCAAAAATGGTTTGGAAAGTGACAAATGCTATTGCACGCCTACGTCCAAGGTGGGTTAAATTTCCTACCACTCAGGAAAAAATAAGAGAAACAAAAGCAGCGTTTTACAGAATTGCCAGATTTCCACGTGTAATTAGATGCGTGGATTGTACTTATGTGAAAATACTTTTTTCAGGTGGAGAACATGCAGAAGCAAGTGTTTCGGAATAGGAAAGGCTACTTCAGCATTAACGTTCAAGTTGTTGGAGGTCCAAATATAGAAGTACAGAACGATGTTGCTAGGTGGCCTGGATTTGCACATGATAGCAATATTTTTTCAAATTCCAGAGTTAATGCCCAATTTGAATACGGTGAATTTGGTGATTCGTTATTATTAGGAGATGGAGGATATGGTGTAAAAACTTTTTTGATGACACCACTTCTAGCAACGCATAACTTAGCAGAACAGTTATACAACGAATCACTCATCCAAACAAGGAATAACATTGAACGCTTATTTAGAGTTATAAAACGTCGATTTCCTGTGCTATCAAGTAGAATGCGGGTAGCTGTTCCAAAAGTGCAAAATGTTATTGTAGCAACATGTGTCTTGCACAATATAGCTATTCATTTTAAGGAAGGTATCCCATTTGTTGATCCAGAAGTAATCATTCCAAATCTGAAGCAGCCTGTTGATGATGCACCGCAGCAAGTCATAGCTGGAGGTGTTCAACAGGAATTACTAAAAATTACTTTCTTCCTCTGGCTAGAGGACAACTGTAGATGTATATGGAGAGAAGCAATGCAATAAATATGTTAAGTAAAGTTTATGCAGAAGCATGCGACTTTTCGGAGGTTTTTACGGTACCATTATCTGTCACTCATACGCCACATAATATTAAAAAGTATTGTAAATTTAATACAGAATAAAGTGTTTTAAATAAAACAGCGTTAAATAGTATAAAAAATACGTTTTATTTAATATCACAATTTTTAAATCCAAGTGCAATACCTTGCACAAAATACTGATGATACTTACATCTAATTAAGTGATATCTCTATCTAAATATAATACGTATTACCCTTAAAATACAATTTTAAAATTCATTACAATATTACCTTAAAATACATGGAAATAAAGTTTTTCAAGTCCAGAAAAATGCTTCACTGAAATAGCTATATGGGCAAATCCACGAAACTGTTAACTTTTATGATACTCGAATCGAACACTTAAAAGTCCGTATTATTTTAGAACAAAATATTAATTTGTCAATTAATTTTATGAGTTTAAAATTGAAAAAACGCTTAAATTTCATTTGAAACTCTCAGAAAAGTATACATTTTTAAAGTTTTTATTTTTGCAGCGTGTGAAATATTAATTCAGCTACAAGGAAAATAACTAAAAGACGTATGTTTTCAAACTTTTTTTACCATCCCATTAGTGTGCTACGACTGTAAGAAAATATATGAAGGTTCGATTGAATGATGACACTTTTTAAGAAAATTTAATTAAACGTCTTCTTATGAAAATACCTAGAGCGGCGTAGAATAAAAATAAAAGTTCAATAAGTTTCTAAATAGACAATAAAAAATCGAACATTTTAAGACCTTTTTAATTAGTGTGCCTATATTTGTATTCCTGTAGAAACAATTTAAAGATGTTATTACAAATCGTGATTTTATTTAAATTTATACATTTTTGAAAAAAAAGCACAACTACAATTTTACTTTAAACAAGTCCATGTATAGTGTGATCGAAGCATTGCCTTACAGATATTAAAAAAAAGTATGCCGCTCAAGGATTTTAAAAACTATCAATTTTATTAAGTTAAGAATATGCTTAAAATTTCAAAAGTTGAATTCTTAAAAATCAAAAAGTTCAATTAATCATTTTAAATTTAAATTTGAATTTAACAGTTTAAATTGCTGATTAGTTCCGAAAACCTTAGAGCAAACTAAATAATAATAAGATTCCATTCAATAAGAATGGAAGAATGGATAGACAGACAGACATACATCACAAGACCAGATTTAGTATGCTTGAGGTGTCCCTGGGACTAGTTAATTATATTAGTAATTGGTTTTCAAAAAATTAGTGATTGCGAAAATGAGTTTCCAAAAGCAGGTACAGCGATAGGTCGTTTCACTTGATTTCAGATTCCAATACGCAAAATTAGGTTAATATATAGAAAAAATTCATAAGTAGAATGGTTATGCTTAATCCAAAAAAGTATTTCTCGGGGACTCTTGTCGAAGTGCGTAAGGCCAATAGAGCAGGAGTATAAACAATAAAAAATAAAAAAAAAATTTTAATTTGAACTTTAAATTCGTAATCAGCGACCCCAAAGACCCCCGAGTAACGAGTTTCAATCAAATCCAACTATTTAAATTTTTCATTCCTCATAATGGAGCATCCATTTTGAATTTTGAAAAACCGTCTTCAGATTGTCCAGCGGCGACCCCAAAAACCTCCGAGTAAAAAGTTTCAACTGATTTAATTGATGGGAAGGTCTTACATATTTTTTGTTCACTTTATAATATTTTAGTTCTGGAAGGGGTTAATAATAAGTGTTAAACATTGGGGGCATGGGTTAAAAAGGAATCACGCATACGAATTTGTGGTGCTAAAACATTCTTGAACACGTATGCAAAGTGACATTTATGTGCATACAAATTAATAAAAAAAAATTTTTTCTTAAAAGTCAAAAGTTTTATGGATTTGCCCATATACTTGGCTTTAATTGCTAAAGCTTTAGCTATTTATTATTAATATAAAATTAAGATAATGGAATTGCACTATTAAAATTATCTAAGCTTTTATAAATATCTATTTTCTGAACTATATATACATATAGTTCAAAACAAGTTGTAAATCCAGATATTCATTACATGAACATTTTGCTTCCTCTTTACGATCAGCAAAAAAAATTTGCTTCCTCGTGAAGGAAGCATTAACGATAAATATATTTCATTTATAAATCATTTTTCATACAATTTAACATTTATAAAATAAAGTTCATTCGTCTTAAGAGAAAAAACAAAATTTTCTTATACAGTAATATGAATCTAAATAAACAAGAAAATTTTTAGTCAAAAAGTGAATTTTTCAACTTTAATTGTAATTAATTCTATAATTTTCAATAGAATATATACTTTATATACATAAAACGATTCGTCTTGATGCATAGAATAAGATTTTTGATTTATTTTTCAATAAATAATAACATTCTATTGTACAGCAACATGATTTTTAATAAAAAATTAATTTTTATTAAAAGTGCAAATTTTTTGTCTATAATTGGTTTTAATTCTATAAATTTAAGTAAAATATATACTTTATATATACCAATCGATCCGTCTTGGTGTAAAGAATAAGATTTTAGAAATAAATGAGTAAGATTTTCTTATACAGCAACATAATTTTGCAGAAAGAACTCATTTTTTGATAAAAATGCGAATTTTTCAGCTTTAATTGTGATTAAATCTATAAATTCTCATACAATTTATACTTCTTATATACCAATCGATTCGTCTTGATGCAAAAAATAAGATTTTATTAAATATTAACTTCAATAAACAACTTAAAAAATTTTTTTAAAAAAAAGTCCAAAAAAAATTTTTTTTTGAGAATTTTTTAAAGTCTATTAATCCATTTCGAGATATTTTTATGATAAATATACCTGGTAAATTTTAGTCAAATTCGTTAAAACCTCTTCGAGTTATCGTGTTCACAAAAATCGGGATCCACACACACACACACACATACACACATCCATACATACATCCGGACAATTGTTCAGGGTCTTATATAACATAGTCCTATATAGAAGAAAATTTGTTAAAAGGATTTTTAAAAATTTTGTTAATTAAACGACTACAAAGCTTCCTCACGAGGAAGCAAAAAGAATGAAAAATATAATATTGTATTCTAGAGATACCAAAGTATGAAAAGCATAAAGTATATATAGATATATATATGAGGCATTCCATTTCAAAACGACCCCCTTCGTAAACAATTGCCAATGTAAGACAATTTTTAAATGAATATTTCTTCCATTCTGTAGAACCAAATTACTTTTTATATTAGTGATTTTGAAAGTAGAATTTCTGAACTTTCTAAAAATAAAAAAATATATTTTTTTAATAATTTAATTTAAATAGAAAATTGAGTTTAAAAGTTAAACTTTGAAAAATCTCAAAACACGTTACCTCCGATTTTAATAAAATTCATATCAAACGAAAGCTTGAATATTCTACTTTTTATATATCAAGCGATAATAATGGACATTTCAGTGGATTTTGAGAAAATAATTAAATTTTACAAACATTTCGAAGGTTATATTGAGAGAACCATTTATTAAGTATAGGGCGGCATTTGTTTTTCTCCATTTATGCATAATAACCTTCTAAATGTCTGTAAAATTTAATTAATTAATTAAAATTTACTGAAATGTCCATTATTATCGCTTGATAAATAAAAAGTAGAATATTCAAGCTTTCGTTTGATATGAATTTTATTAAAATCGGAGGTAACGTGTTTTGAGATTTTTCAAAGTTTAACTTTTAAACTCAATTTTCTATTTAAATTAAATTATTAAAAAAATATATATTTCTATTATCAGAAAGTACAGAAATTCTACTTTAGAAATCACTAATATAAAAAGTAGTTTGGTTCTACAGAATGGAAGAAATATTCATTTAAAAATTGTCTTTCATTGTCAATTGTTTACGAAGGGGGTCGTTTTGAAATGGTAAATGGTGGTTTGAAATGGTCGTTTTTGAAATATATACCTCATATATATATAAGTAGAAAAATATATGAATTTCTCTTTATACATTGGTATCTTTTGAATACAATATATTTTTTATTCTTTTTTTAGCCTCTTAGAGATTCTCTTCAACCATTATTTCATTTTGAAGTTTGTTAACTGTTAATGTGATAACCTCCAATTCTTTTTTTTTAATTTCCAGTTCTACCTCCAGAATGCGTTGTTTAATTCTTGATTCCTCTTCTTTATTTTTCATTTCATCTTGGACTGACAATAATTGATAATGCTGTACTTCCATTTTTGTCTCAGCCATATTCCCTAGGTTATCGGACAAAGATTTACTTTTTTTAGTCTTTTTATTTGCCTCAGTTTATGGATTTCGTAACAACACGTGTTTCGGTTTTTTTAAATTACTGTCTTTCTGACCTTCCCAAGTGGCGTTTTCACTTTCAGAATTAATTGAATCTTCGAAATTATCACGACGTTTCTTTGAAGCTAAGCTGTACCTTCGTCAATTACAGAACTGCTTTTACAACATTTCCTTGTTCCTTCTGGCACAGTTTTTTCCTGATTTTCAAATTTGTGTATTTTCTCCTGATTGTTCTCTTCAATGGTAATCGAAAATGATTCTTCAAGAACATTCCTTTCCTGAGTTGCTTGCAGCGTAGATAAACGACTTTCATTATCTACAGTTTTGCTATAAAAAACATGATGAAATGGCTCATCAATTTCTCCGTTTTCCGATTGGGGCAAATTTTCCTCATCTTCTGCGTTCTGAATTTCATGCTGGCCAAAAAACTCGTCGTTGTCATTAGTTTAATGTAAACCATCAATTGATTGCGGGAGCATGGCTAACAATTTATTTTCTAACATGGTAAATGGTTCTATTACCTTTAGACCACCACCAGTTCTGAAAGATTCTTTTCTATTATTTGCTCCCTTTGCTTTTACAGCCTTCTTTAAACCCTCGTATTTATTCTTAAGTCTTCTTTGAGAGCGATATTTTGTGGGATAAATAGAGTTGAAGTCGCTAGCAATTTTTTCACAAGCAATGTCTTTTTCTTTCCAAGTTACGGAGTCAGTCTGCTTGCATTCGACGATGTGTTTGTATTCGTCGACGATGTTCAGAAGATCAGAAACTTCCTGTAATGTAAAGTTTTGGGACCTTTCTCTTTTTTTCGTTTCGGTTCTTGCTTTCGTTCCTTTAGACATTCTAGTTCCTAGAATAAAAGATTTCATAATATGTGCTGTTAATATAATGAACATACGAACAGAAGCCTGTGTCAATTATCTAAAATTTTATGCAGTAAGCACAATGCAACAGTATTAATAACACAGCCACATTCGACGTTTGAAAAGTTTTTGGATGTTACATTTACTTACAATACACATTTATTAAAAGACTTTACGATAAGTTAGAAATGAATTATTAACAAAAAGCTACAAAACCTACAAACACTAATTTTAAAATAAAGAACTATTTGAATTATAATTTATTGCTTTTTCTTATCTTCGGTGAAAGCTTTGAAATTAATTACTAAACAATCCATAAAAACTATGAAGAATAATTTGAAAACAGAAAATTATTTAAATTTATCCTTATTCATTTTTTCATTATTAAAAAAACAACAACAAGAATGATAATATAAAAATTTTAACTTATTTGAATTTCAATTTATTTACAATAAATACATTTATTTAAAAATATTTATGTGGATTTCACTGTATTTATTTAAGAAGTAATAAAAATAGTATGAAATAAAACAATTATTTTATTTTAAATTTATCAATTTACTAATTTAAAATAAAAGTTATGCATTAAAAACAATTTCAGTTTGAAATTGAATTTACTCAAGACATTGTGTAAATCTTTATGTTTATTACGTGTTGACATTCATTTTTAGTAAAAAAATCGTAATGTGCAATTTGTGCGAATTCAGTATAACAGTTTCTCTCATCATGTTTAGTTACCTCCTTTGTTTGTTGCTTTGCACAATTTTTTGTAATTCTCAAAAGCTTCGTTCGTGTGTCTCATTTTTCGATGTGAAGTTTAAAGTCAGATTAGCATCATATTTAAATATATCCTAAACAGATTATTCTTGATAAAATACAGTGGTTTAACTTTACAATATTATTATTTCAAAATATTCTTACCGTATTTTAATTATTGATTGCAAATTAATTGTCTGATCATAAAATCCAAAGTGGTGAATCTTCTTTCCCTCTTTCAGTCAGCAGAAAACTTGTTTTTCTCAAATCTAGAAAAGAATATGATAAATTATTATTTACAACTTATTAAAATTATATTAATTATTAATCTTAATTACAACTTTGTTGTCTCCGAATAAAAGTTGTTTTAATTTTCAAAATAAATGAAATACAAAAAAAGCTAACCTAAAAATTACAATATGTTAATGATGTAAAAAGTTCATGAAAACATAACCTTTTTCAGGCATACTATTTCATTAATTTATTTTAAACTACTTTTATTACTTTATACTTATAATTTTTTTCCTTTACTATGTCTTTTTTAGCAACAAAACTTCAAAGTAACAAGCTAACCTATAAATTGACACATACTTAGAGACCTACACTTTGTGCGAAGCGCATAATCGCATAATTTTCAAAAATTGAAAGAAAGTTTGAAGTTTTACGTATTATAATGTTTATGAATAAAATAAAATAAATTTAACTTCGCATCAAAACGCATAATTTTTTTTCATCGCACAATTTTTGAATTCTCGCATAATTGTGCATAATTATATTTTTTGTGCAGGAAATATAAAAATATTTCACAGTCTAGATCTGCATTAACGAAATATCTGTTTATAAATACGTTTTGTCATAAATTTATGAATAAAATTAATCATCTATAATTAAAAGGGAATCCTAGTTGTAATTTTCAAAAAATCGGTTTTTCTTTTCTTGTATTTTTTCTAAGTTCACCCACACAACACCGAAAATTTCCTAAATATTTACTAAAAATTTACTTGCAAGCTTGGAAGTATTTACTTGCAAAGTTTAGTGAAAATTCTGCAAAGATTTAAATGTCCCACTTCAATAAATGTTGAGCTAACTTTGCAAGTAAATTTTTTGAAGTTTGCAAGTAAATCTTTAATAAATTTTTAGGAAAGTTTCGGTACTGTGTAGGTAGGGTCTCAGACATATGTTTGTGAAATAATAAGTTGATATTTTAAAAAGTGAGTGAGATATAAAGCTTTAAAGATCTGAACTAAGGTTCAGTTAAGTCTGGCTTCCTGTAGCCCGGAACAAAATTTCGTCTAATGAAAGAGTATGATAAAATTTTAAACTCGTTTTTCTTAAAACAGCATTTTGCAAATCGGTGATCGCACTATTTCTTAAAAACTACTGCACTGAATCTCCGATTTTTCTTGAGTTTAGTGGGCTTTTTTAATACATGAAAATCTACTCCTCACCTCAATAGAATGATTTCTTTTTTTAAGAAAGGGGTCGTCCATAAAGCATGTGATATTTGAAGGAGTAGGGGGTCCATAAAATATTATGCTTCATATTAATCATTAACGGAAAAAGTATCAAGATGGGGGTTAAAGTTTCGGAAATTAAGTATGCTTTATGGATGACCCCAAACAATATCTTTTTACAGCTGAGAACCAACAGCATTTTTTTATCTTTTACTTTAACTAAATTTGTTTGAATTTTGTATTTCTGAGAAACCAGCTCCTTGTTACCGTGGTTATCGCAAAACATATTTCTTATGATGACCTTTACTCTATATTTATAGAGAATAAGTTGCTTTATTTAAAAATGTTGGTGGTTTTTCTTAAAAAAATTAACATAATGTTAAAAGCTTTATTTGGGTCCTTAATAACGTTTTTCTTTCAAAAGCATCAATTTGCACTTTTTAATTTTTCAACGCATAATTTCGCATAATAATCAGTTTTTCAGGGCATAATCCAGTAATTTTCAGCGTCATAAAATACTGTCCTTACATATACTATAAAAGCACATAAAAACTATATTCTTTATAGTACGTTATAATATTTACTTAATTTATATAGCACTACCATTTACACCTATATATTCAACATTTTTTTTATTATCTACTTCATTTCTTTACTTTTGTTTTAAAAATACAAACATTGCATACACGTAAATTCATACGTTAAGAGATAAATAGCATAATGTTACACATACCTTAAATATGCAGATAAATGATCAATTGGCCATTAGTGGAATATTTACATCAAAATATCCAGCATCATTTGTCACTCTACTATCATTATCATAAGGTAGATAACCAGCATTTTCAGAGTAAATCATTTGATTAGGAGTTTGCGAAATTGCATTTTTCATTGTGGTTGTAATACCAACATTTAGAGAGCGATCAATTTCAACACTATTTAATTCATAACGAATCTCATTAAACAGGTAGGAAATACCATTGCTAATTAACTTTGTATTAGTTCAGAAAACTGAAAATTATGCGAAATGATGTTTCGATGATAAGAATTTCGATGTTTTGAACATTAGGAAATTGAAATTTGAGGAATAATCATGCGCCCCCTTCCAGGGGGAATAGTAATCACTTTATCATCAATAAAAAATTTATTTTTGCCTTGCTTGATCAATATTAGGAATTGAATTAAAGGTTAATAATTCAACTAAGCCAAGTACATAATTTTTATTAGATAATAATTCTATCGGAGAAAAATATTCTGTTTCCAGGGTAGATGAATTGCCTGAGATAGTCAGAGTAAAAGATTCTTCCATGTTGATGACTTTTTATTAACTGATTAGGTGGAATGACTTACAATCACTTATATAGAATATATTTTTGAGTTATTTCAAGCTGTCCACATAAGAATTTCAGACATAAATGACCACAATTAAAACTGTTATAATCTTTATAATTTTGATTATTATACTGTATTAAAGTATTATAACCTAAGTAATTGCCAAGTTCATAGGGTGGTTGAAGATTATTAAAACTATCAAAGTATACTACTTTATTATGAACTTTTTTATATGCAACCCAATGAGTTCCAGAACCATCTTTATCATTTAAATTAATAATGGCTTATTCATTTTTTTGAGGACCTCTTATAAGTAGTTCATTTCGCATAAAAACTCCTCGAAAATGAGAAATTTTCATTTCTTTAGCATATTTAAGTAAATCTAGATCAGTAAGTGCTCGTTGAGGAAGCTTTAAACTTTTTTTTGTACATCGTCTCTTAATACCTTGTCCTTTAACATATGGTTTTAAATGAAGTCCCAACCAAGTGACTTTACCAAGACTTAACCAAGACCTTTACCAAGTGCAACTGCTTCCAACTCTCTATTGTGACGCTGAGCTTCCTACAACTGCTCTTTTGCTGCACTTGCATCATTAACAGCTTTTGCTACACCAGCAGCTCCCCCAGTAAGCGCTCCAAGTGCACTTAGACCAGCAAAAATGGGAATCAATGGGAGCAGACCACCAACTTTTGATGGGACAGGTAGAATACGAGGTGTTAAAAACTTTTCTCTACCACCTGCTTTCCTTACAGCTTTTCGAGCTGTTTCAATAGCTGACTTTATTGTTAAACGAGCATCATTACCAGGAATTATTGATTTTCTTGCAGCATCAACAATTTTACTAAGATTTATTCGTTTTTTTGATTTTTTCTTCTTTACTCGTTTCTTGGACTTTGTCTTCTTCTTCTTTACTCCCATCCCAAATTTTGATTTTGCTTTTATAGCGTTTGTTATTGCGGAAGCTGCAGCTCTTTCACTATTTCGTGCGTCTGGAGCAAATCATAAGCTACCAGTCGTCAATCTAGACTCGATTGTTAAACAACAAGAGAAGAAAGTGAAGCGTCATGGTAGTTTGTTTTCCGGTAGTATTTGAGCTATTTTTTGTGGACCATCAAATTGTGGAAAGACAAGTGTACTGCTTTCTTTAATTTTACATCCTAATGGTCTTAGATTTGATAATATTTACTTGTACTCAAAGTCATTACATCAACACAAGTATAAATTCTTGGAACAAGTTGTAAGTTATGTTAAAGGAGTAGAGTATTTACCATTTATTGAGCATGAAGAAGTCATTAGTCCTAAAAATGCAAAACGGAATTTAATATTTATATTTGATGATATTGCTTGTCTAAACAAAAATTGCTTTGATGGATTTAAACGTTCTAGGGCTTAAAAGATTTCTACATTCATGTACTTTAAGATGCCGATGGGCGTTTTTTGAAAAATTCTATTTCCGATGCCAATAGAACTGTCAAAAGTCAAAAGGTCCAAAAATCTCGAAATACTTTTATGAATTAAAAGCAAAAAACGAGGTAAATAATTCTGTAACTCATTCTTTATCAGTTTTTAGAGTTCCCGAATATAAATCTAAAGTTTTTTTTTAAAAATCCAAAATGTCGAATTCAATATGGCGGACAAAATTCAAATTTGATCAGATTCGATTAAAACTTGTTACTCGGGGGTTTTTAGGGTCGCTGATTACGAATCTAAAGTCACTTTTTATAAATTCAAAATGGCGGATCCAATATGGCGGAAAAATTTTTCAAATTTGATCCGATTTCCTTAAAACGTGTTACTCGGGGGCTTTTGGGGTCGCAGATTATGAATATGAAGTTACTTTGTGTTTGAGACTTCAAATTTATAATTAGATACGCTAAAAACCACCGAGTAACACTTTTTAATTAAATCTGATCAAATTAAAAAATTTGATCCGCCATTTTGAATTTCTACAAAGTAGCTTCATATTCATAATCTGCGACCCCAAAAGCCCCCGAGTAACACGTTCTAAGGGAATCGGATCAAATTTGAAAATTTTTTCTGTCATATTGGATCCGCCATTTTGAATTTTTAAAAAGTGACTTCAGATTCGTAATCAGCGACCCTAAAACCCCCCGAGTAACAAGTTTTAATCAAATCTGATCAAATTTGAATTTTGTCCGCCATATTGAATTCGACATTTTGGATTTTTTAAAAAAAACTTTAGATTTATATTCGGTAACCCTGAAAACTGATAAAGAATGAGTTACAGAATTATTTACC